ACTAATATAGAAATTCATTATTAAGGCAAAACAGGTATGCATCAGAATAAACTAAAGGACAATACACACATTCAATCAAATCAAGATATTATAATGAAGCCAACATAATAGTACATTCCCTTTTGGGAAGAATGCACTAACCAAAGCCAGAACCTCAGATGAGTTAATCAATAAGCACAACACTGGATTTGAAAATCTATCCTCTTTGGTTAGATAGATTCCTAGACCAATAAGCCTCCAATAACTTCATCTACAACTTCAAGAAGAAGTTGCTCAAGATGAGTTAATCATTGCGCACAACAGGTTGTCATACCAATGCCAACATAATATTACATTCCCCTTTAGGCAGAATGCACAAACCAAGGTCTAAATCAAGGCCAGCACCTCAGATGAGTTAATCAATGAGCATAACATTGGGTTCGAAAATCCATCCCCTTTGAGCATATAGATCCCTAGACTAATGAGTCTCCAATAACTTCATCTACAACCTCAAAGAAAAGTTGCTCAGTGAGCATACACTAGCTACAGAGATTTATCCCCTTTGGACAGACAGATCACCTAGACCAATGCATCTCCAATAACTTCATCCCAAATAAGTTCACAGTTATAGCCAGTGGCAGACCCAAGACATTTTCTTTATGTTTGCACAATTTTTTTATTTTTTATTTTAAAGATCATGATCATGATTCAATTTTTGCTTCCACTTCAAAAGTAAAGCTTTGGTGAATCAACCAAAGTTTTAAGGAAATAATAGATAATAATAATTAAAAAAAATAAACACCACAAAAAGATATTTGTAAAAAATAGTATAATTGTAAGAGTTAATCGATCAAAAACCCACCTTTATCAGTGTCTATTTGATCCACAATTGGCCACTTTTGTTTCACAAAAAAACGTGAAAAATCCCGTGAGATTCTCCTTCACTTGATGAAGATTGAATTTCAGGAATGTTATGTTTATTAAGATTTGGAGCTAATAAGATTTATATTAAAAAAAAAAAAGACAAAGCAATGGGCTAGGGTTTAAGCTTTGAGCTTTTAATTGTAGGGGTTGGTTGGGTTGGACATGTTTTTATCTGTTTTCTTTAATCTTCCTATTTCTTTTTTTTTACTTGACTTGAAGCACCCATCTCATGTGAAAAAAAAGTTTTCCCCAACTTTGTGTATGCAAGTGCAGACACTAGCACCAACGTGCGTCTGCCGTTGGTTATAGCACACAATTACCCCCTTTGGGCAGGTAATTGCATAAAATAACCAAAATCATTTCTCAAATTTTACAAAGAAATATTCACAAACCAATATAAGTGATCCCACTTTGGTGGTAATTAACAATAGTAATTCATGAAAATTCTTACACAGAGATATATTTAAATATAATAACATTCTCTTTCCCAAAATCATGATCGAATCCACAAGGTGCAACATATTTACTGATCATGAATTCAAAATAATAGCATTCACAAACAAATTTTGCATTTAAGTAGAAGCAAACACCTCAATAAACAAAAATATTAGAATAAGCAATAGAAGCTGAGAGCAATCAACACTATATCATAACAACTTCCAAGTCACATCAACATTTGATGCAACATATATCAAATTAATTAATTTTTTTTATCATATTTTTCTTCAAGATATATTCAGAATAAAATATAATATAAATTCCTCCTTTTTCTTCTTTTTTTTCCCAAAAATATTTATCCCATAAAAATAATAATGATTAAATAGAAAATATATTAAAAATGTTATTTCCCTTTCATTACTCATCCTCTATAATTGTAATCCAGCGGCTCAAAATATCATATATATTTCACGACAATAATTTATAAATCTCGCGCCGAACAAACTCCAGAATTGAATTCTTAATATATATCTACTTTCAATTATGACTTCACATTCTTGAAGTAACATTGCACCACATATACAAAAATATATTAAATTAATCGCTAATTGATAGACAAAGTAAATTCGAAAATTAACAAATATTCATAACAAATTGATTGAGTGTTATACTATTACAAAACCAAACAAATTGTAATCAATGATTGAAAAGTTATACAAACTGTCATGCTAACAAGTAAATCAAATGTAAAAACTTTGTTTCCCAATGATTGAAGAAGAAAAAACAATTCATAAGAATTTAAAATTCAATTCTATTACAAGTAGAGAGCAACAAATATCCACAAACTCAAATATCCACTACCAAAGGAAGTATGTTATTGGGTTGTTATCAATGTTCGAATTTTAAAATGCACAGACCACCGTTATTTGTTTTATGTGTGTTGGCTATTTCTACAAACATAAAACAAAATAAGGTTCGATTTTTCTGAAGATAAGTTATCTGCAGTAAATCCAATACGACGTCGTTTTGGGCGGAAATCATGGTGTTGTTGTAATTTTAATTTATTTTAGGGTTATAATAGTCTTTATATTTATAATTTTTTAAGATTTTAATACCAAAACGACGTCGCTTTGGGAATAAATGCAGATAACTTCTCTGCATTAACTGCGGAAACATTTTTCCAAAAAAGGGAAAAAAGTTTCCGATGTTACTTTAGATAACTTTATCTAATGTTCATCAAAACGACGTCGTTTTGGGGTTGAAAAATTTAAAAATTATAGTGATAAAGACTATTATAACCCTGAAATAAATTAAAATTACAAAAATACCATGATTTCCTTCCTAAAACGACGTCGTTTTGATGAACATTAGATAAAGTTATCTAAAGTAACATCAGAAAAACCAAACCCTAAATTGAATTCATATATTTTTGTTGGGTTTAATGCCCTTTCGTTTATAAAAGAAGAAGAAGTTCAATTCATATATGGAACCTAGAAAAGAAAAACGAGGGAAGTGATTATTCTTATAATACATACCATTATCAGTTATTTTAGATTTCACTTTAATATTTTAACCAAAATAGCAAAACCTTTTTTTTTTTTGGTATCCAAATAGCAAAACCTTTAATTAATTTGCATAGCCTTCTTTCCATATAATCAACAATCAATCAAGGACAAAAATTTAATCTAGCTGGTGTATTTCCACCAAAGATAAGAAAAAAAAATATGGGAAAAATGTTTCCGCAGTTAATGCAGAGAAGTTATCTGCATTTATTCCCAAAACGACGTCGTGTTGGTATTGAAATCTTAAAAAATTATACATATAAAGACTATTATAATCCTAAAATAAATTAAAATTACAAAAACACTATGATTTCCGTCCCAAAACGACGTCGTATTGGCTTACTGCAGAAAAAGCAAACCCAAAAAATATTGATATCACTTTTAGGGGTTTAAAATAAAATAAAAAATTTTTATTACAAGAAGGAAATAATGAATATTAACTCTTTCGAAAATTAGGTGAAGACACGTAAATAGTTTTTTATTATTCCTAATCATAACTTACCATAGATGTATATTTCACCCTTTTATACAAGACTAGTGTTCTTGTCCCTCCTTTATCACTCACAACAATCTCTATCTATTTCTCCCTCCCTGTCTTAAGCGTTGGTAATTCTTTCTAAACTCTACCATACTCCTTTCTAACTGAATTATATGTATCTGCTCTGTCCTTCAAGACTAGCTCATGAGATATAACTTTTGGTACGAATGATAACATATGCTCTTCATTTCTCTTACTTGTATTTGCCATTTGCTGTTAATGCTTTTTTCCTTGCTTGCTTGATTCTGTTCAATTTGATTAATTCTTTTGATAATTTGATATAATTTCTAGTAAAGAGATCCTCTATGTTTGTTTTGCATTTGATATTTGCTTTACCGTATAACAATTATAGAATCAACTTCTGTCCTTGCAAATGTATATATGGCCATCGTGAACAGGATAATGTTTCATCCTTTTTGTGGGTATGGTTTTTATTTTGTTTTTCTTGTTACCTACAATTGTCGTTCATCGTTTATCTCTAGAGAATACTTATTTATGCTTTGTTTCTTGAATTTTATTTTCAGTTTTTTTTTCTAAACATTTTATCACATAGCCATACTATAGTGCATGTCACCCTCAATTTTACAAGTGCATCTTAAAAATTTTCTTTATCAGTGCATTTATTCATGTACACTTTCCTTCTGAACATTTAGGAAATATTTTACTGGCAACGATTTTTATTTTCTTTTAATATAATATTTTCTTTTGGATATTTTCTGGTTAAAAAAATGAATTTCTTTGGTGAAATCGTGCAATATCACGAGATATATTTTTCAAAGAACAAAACTTTTTTTAGAATAAGCAAATTCATTTGGAATCATGTGCATTTACTTTTATTTTTCCTATTCAATAATCAGCATTTAATTTGTCTGTGTTTTCACATAGAGAATTTTTTGCAGAATTTTTTTTTAAAAACTTTTTTTCCTTGAGTAAACTTTTTTTCTTTTTAAACAGTAAAAGAGTAATAATAATGAGATAATGTTTTATTATAAAAGAAAATCACACATTTTAATACTACTATTTAATTTACTCATTAATTATTGTAAGATCTCTCAAAAACGTTTTCGGGCAAAATCTACCTACGCAATCTAATGATAATGCATATGATAATAAATTGTTATTATAAGATCTCTCAAAAACTTTTTCGGGCAAAAAGTTTGAGAAATAATGCATTTCGTAAGAATTTATTCACATTTATTTTCCTTATAGGATAATAATAATAATAATAATAATAATAAATTATTATTATTATTATTATTATGTTAAAAATAGATGCTTTTATTCTTTATTCAGTAAATGTGTTTTGCAACTTAATGTACCTCATTGATTAATCTAGAATAATCTTTTCATTATATATATATATATATATATATATATTATTTATTTTTATTTTTATTTTTTATTTTTTTAACTTTTTTGTATCTTTTATTTGAATTCTTCTACCACTGATCTCAATTAATTTGGAATTAAGTTGTTATTGATGTTGATGTTGAATCTTTTCATTTTGTATATTGTTTCATAGAAAAGTGAAAGGAGTTCTTACAAAGCTACCGAGTTTAATGGACAAGGTTGGTGCTATCTTAGACCCATCAATGGAAGCAGCCTTAGCTGCAATGTATGAACAAGGGAAAAACGTTCAACTCAAAGGAAAGATAACTATTGCGGAACTTGAGACAAGGATATGGAGAGATCGCATGCTATTGAAGAAGCTTAAGGGAGAGAGGAACAAGAAAGAGAAGAAACAAACATGGGAGCAACTGAAAAGAAAGACAATGTCTCGTTCACAAGATTGTATACTAAAGTACATGCTGAAGATGATGGAGTTTTGTGATGTTAAGGGTTTTGTTTATGGCATAATTCCTGAGAAGGGTAAGCCAGTGAGTGGATCTTCTGATAATCTTCGTGGTTGGTGGAAGGAAAAGGTGAAGTTTGATCGAAATGGGCCTGCTGCAATTGCAAAGTATAATGAAGAAAGTGCAAATCTTGGGCTGAATATTGATTTTTTGAATGAAGAAGAGGCATTATCTCATTACACTTTGCATGATCTCTCTGACACAACTCTTGGGTCACTCTTATCAGCTTTGATGCAACATTGTGACCCACCACAGAGGAAGTACCCTTTGGAGAAGGGTATTGTTCCACCATGGTGGCCCAATGGGAGTGAAAATTGGTGGGCTGAGATGGGCTTTTCCAGTGCCTTAAGCCCACCTCCTTATAGGAAGCCTCATGATCTAAGAAAGGCTTGGAAGATATGTGTACTAACAGCTGTGATCAAACACATGTCCCCTGATATTGAAAAGGTAAAAAACATTGTTCATCATTCAAGGACTTTGCAAGACAAGTTCACTGCCAAGGAGGTTGCTATTTGGCAAGCTGTTATGAAAAAGGAGGAATCATTGGCTAGAAATTTGTACCCTGATATGTTTCCTCCAAATTTTGATGAAGGTGGAAATGGGTCTAGAGTGGTTAGTGAGAGAGATAATTATGATATAGAAAGCAGTGGTGACAATGAAGATACATTGGGAGAACATAGTTTTGTTTTGCCATCGGATCATGGTGCTAAGAGAAAAGCTGAACTTGTTCAGATAACTTCTCATCTTGAGGCTTATACTTGTCCTAACCCTCAATGCTTTTATCATGATAACAACATTGGTTTCAGTGATAGGAATGTAAGAAACAATCACCAGTTGATATGCACAAACACAGGGAATAATAACAACAACCCTGTTCAAATTGTTGGAGAACCTCAGTTTAATAATAATGTTGTTCCTCAAGCTGCAGCACCAGTTGCAAATAATGAGACACTTCCTACTAGTGCTGGTTCAGGTGAAACGGTTTCTAATTTCAGGAACATCTATGCTACAGGATTTCAGCTGAAGAATAACATGAGTGGTGCAAACATGGTTCCTGCAGCTAATCAAAACCTTCAGCCTCAGATGGACAACAATCTCTATGATCAAAGGGTTGGTGTCAATGACTACAATGCTGCTTCTGAAATAGTAGCTAATGTATCATCAATGCATGAAAATGTCACATCTTCAGTTGATCCTGCGTTTGATTTGATGGCTTTTAATTCCCAATCTGATGGTAATACATTCAATTATAAATTTATGCCAACACCAAGGAATGATTTTTCTTGGCTATACCGTTAAGGAAAGGTAACATTATAAATTATCTACTTCAACTTTCTCCCTTTTATAAGTAGCCTCTTTTGGTTTTGGTTTTGTTAGGTTGAACTTTCAATATCTACCAAATAATCCCCATGTTTTAAATTTTGGCAATTTACTTTGCTTAAAATTTAAACATATGGAAAGTTTAATTTCCCTTTTGAACAAAATGAAATTATTTTATACATATTGAAAGTGTAAATGCATTGGTACTTGCCAAAACTAAAACTATACAAGAGTCTATTTGCCAAAGATTGAAAGCTGAAACAGGTAATTTACATGCTTGGCTGCTGGAACAGTTGGAGAAGAAGCTATTTGGTTATCTTTTTTAATTCTTGTCTTTCTTATTGGAGTCAAATAAAATGTAGGGTACTACTCCTTATGTATGGTGTCTGTCTCTTGTGCCTTTAATAGCACTATTAAGGACTAAGAATGAATGTGAGTATCTGTGTTTTTCTTCCATCATGTTATTTATTGTGCTAGCCATTTACTTTTCTTCTTCTTCTTCTTTCCTATTTCTCCAAACTCCGTGAGTAGGGAATTTTATTTTCTGGGACAAATGAATAATTTTATTTTATTGAGAGGCTCAGACATAAAATTATAAAAAAATATTCATAAATAAAAAAATAATATTTGAGGATTGCTCCCGTTACCATGGTTTTCTTGGGTGACATGCTTTTCTTAAAGAGTTTTATTTTTCTCATATTGTATGAGACAAATTGTCTCATGCAACATACAAAAAAGTGAGTAAAATCCACTTTTTTATTTTCTCTCTTTTTTTTTAGTAGGTTTCACTCACTTTTTTGTGGATTGCATGAGACAATTTGTCTCATGCAACATGAGAGAAATAAAACTATTTCTTAAACTAACAAACATCTTACACTGTAGATGAATATTTTAAAGAACTCAGATAAATTAAGAAAAAATATTTAAAATTTTTAAGAAACGCATTAACTAATTCAAGTAAAATTTTAAAGTATTGATTAAAAAGGAAAAATTAAAAATAAAAAAATTATGCATAATTAATTAAAATTAAATTTATAATTAAAAGAGATGATTAAAATTGACATGTATCATTCCTTCAAGAAGAGTATTAATAAGAAATTTAATCACTTTAAAAACATTTATTGTAATTGCATATATAATGATAAATTAAAATTTTCTAATCGGTTTTAGTAAATTATTAATTACTCTATATTCTCTTAGTAAATTATATTTCTTTATAAGATTACCAGTATATTACCCGTGCATTGCACGAAAAAAAAAAAGAAATTGGTTTGTCTATCTCATAAAAGTTAACACAAATCATAAAATTATATCATTGCATTTTATTTAAATCAACACTATGAGGTACCTAATTTCAACTTTTTGTACATGTAGAGTTGACAAATATTTTAGTTAGTAAGTTTAATATCCTAACAAACACTTCATAGTTGAAGTTGAATGTGGTAATATCAAAAGATCATTCATTAGCTTAATTGCATAAGTATAAATAATTATTCACATAATTAACATATATATAAGCATATTTTTAATGCATCGTATTTAATCTCAATAATACTACAACTCTACCAATAATAATTTGGTGAAAAATATGAAAAACCAACTACTCACTAGGTTGGAAACAACTAATTTTAGATACCATTAAAATAATGATATATTGCAAAATATTGAATGATCATTTCTTTTAATAGAGTAATTAAAAAAAAAATTAGTTCAAATGAAATTGTACTCCATGTATAAAGTTCTATACCTGTGGCCTTAATGATTGCTTGATTCTCCACCAAACTTTGCAAGGGCATCTTGTTTGATCCTCTATATAAAATGTAGAAGTCATTGTATTAGCTTGTCATGTAGTCATTTATAAATTACGTAGTTTGACTCGGCTTCTTTCAGTATTTCTCAGATATGGACTTTCATTTATCATAATCTGATTGTTCATTTTGTTTAGACGCTTGTTTCTGAAATATTTACAACCGTAAATCAATGATCTTAGCTACACAAAAGACAGGTTTGTTAGACAGTAAATATAAGGAAAAAACGTGTTGGTAGGCTAACCCACCCATTTAGTGGGCAGGGCGGGCCGGCCACCCCATTTTGCCACCTTTAACTGTCAGCATTTTATATCAGCATCTAATAAGTTTTTACATTTATCCACACACAAAAAATGTTGTTATAGTTGCATCTAGATTATCGTCTCTCTATGTTTTATATAGTTGCATCTAAATTGACTTTCTTAGGTGTGTGTATTTGTGACATATATATTAGATGAAGAGTTGGCAAATATTTGAGTTAGTAAGTTTAATATTCTAATAAACACTTTATAGTTTAAGTTGAATGTGGTAATATCAAAAGATCATTCATTAGCTTAATTGCATAAGTATAAATAATTATTTACAAAATTAACATATATATATATGGGATAGGATCAACTTACGCTGGTGTAAGAATAATAAATCTTACACCAAATCTTAACCGTTGATTTCCGTGCATTCAATGGTTGAGATTTATTGGGAATTAAAAATTAATTAATGAGTGAGACCTAATAAATCTTAACCGTTAGATGTAGAAAATCAATGATTAAGATTTGGTGTAAGATTTATTATTCTTACACCGGTGTAAGATGATCCTACCCCTATATATATATATATGTAAGTATATTTAATGCATCCTATTTAATCTCAATAATATATCAACTAAATCAACAGTAATTTGGTGAATAATATGAAAATGTGTTGGCAGGTTGGGTAGGCTGGCCCTCCGGGCTGAGCCATTTTGCCACATCTAACTGTTAGCATTTTATATCATCATGTAATAATTTTTTTCTATTTATCCATACAAAAAAAAAATTCTTATAGTTGCGTCTTAATTACTATATATCTATCTATGTTTTCTATAATTACCTCTAAATTAATTTTTCGAGGTGTGTATTTGTAACATATATATTAGATGAAGAGTTGATAAATATTTGAGTTAGTATATTTAATATTCTAATAAACACTTCATAAAATGGTATCGAGTTATTTTCATAACTTGTTATTAACACTCATTTGTTTTCCTAGATTATTTTATTATTAGTTTCCTTATTTTCATTAATTTATCACAATCTAATTGTTTATTTTGTATAGATGCTTGTTTCTGAAACATTTACAATAGTAAATCTAATGATCTTAGTCACACAAAGGCGAGTTTCTTAGACAATAAATATAAGAAACAAAAATATTTTGGCAAGGTAACCTGCCCATTGTGGCTTTTTTCACCAAAAAAAAAAACTCCTTTAGTTTGTTTTGGACAAAAATTGAAATAATCAATAAATATTTTTAATTTACAAAAAATCGATAGTTCAATACTGTATTTTATTCACTAATATTCTTTTATTATACTAAATTAAAATATTAAAGAAGCTAAAATAATAAGCTATGCGTTATTTATTTTTTATAATCACATATAATTTAAATTTTAAAACAAAATAAATGTTTTTTTTGCCTTTTTTCAATTATTTTAAACAATTTATTTGGACATCCATAAGTAATATTATAAATAATTAAGTGTACCTCTATCACACGCACACATATATTATAACATAAGATTTAATCAGTAGTACATCTGATATTTATTTTCTTTATACCTAGGTTTTTTACACCTTAAATTTTATTATAAATTAACTATTTTACATGTATAATCATTTATTTGCTTTACACTCTGTTTATTTAAATTCTAATTTTTGATAATTCCAATTTCTGCTTTATACTTTTCTTCCACCTATCAAGTTCAAAATTCAAATTTAAAATGTTTAAATGTTAAATATTAAATAAATTTCCAACCAATAGACATAATAATAAATATTATCAATAGGCTTAACCATTTTCCATGCAGAAGTAGTGGAAAAAATTAAAATAGTCTACAAAATACTTAATGACAAACATCTTGTTACGATGCATGAGTTGGATGGTCACTGATCACTAAATGATCATTCATTGTAATTAAGTTATTAATAATAATAAATAATTATTTGTTGCAAAGATTTGTGGCTTTTTTCAACATTCTAAATTATTTATGTTTCTTAAAATTAAATATTACTCATTTTTCAAATGATTAGAAGTTAAAAAATCAGAAGTTGTTTTTTAAACATTTTAGAAAATATTGAAGCTAAATTTATTAAGTTTTAGTTTTTATGAAAAATTATTTAATTATTATAAGCTTTTAAAATATTTTTTTAATTAAAAAAGCATATTTTTAAAACCAACTGATGGGTTGGAAACATGTGATCTTAAATAGAATTAAAACATAATTTAGGCTTTTGCCTTTAATTTTTTGGGAAAAAAAATTATTTTGCAAGACATTGCTTGGAGCCCGATGCTACTGTTGTATGCACAGATTCGCATTGCGTGTTGCTGCATTTCAATGTTACTTCTTCTTTTGGAATTCATTTTAACGTCTCAATTTCACTTTGATTGTTCGATTTCCTTTAAAAAAAATAATGGGAATGTGTTGGCCTCCTTTAATGCCATATTGGGAATGACAAGGACATTCAATGTTGGATTGTAACTCTCACTTCTACATTCATTGTAGTTTTTATATTGAGAAATCGTGGAATTTATTGGATTATATTATCATTTTATTTTGACCATTATGCAACATATAACAGTAGGGATCTGCATGGGTCGAATCGAACCTGTGTTTTTGAAAAACTGAACCGAATTGGTTTAAATGATTCGGTTCAGAAGTGGTTCAGTTCGGTGGAAAACGGTTCGATTCGGAACCAGTTCGGGTCGACCCTCTTTTGAAAAGAAAAAAAATTAAAATTTTTAAAAATAAAGTTATAAAAATCAATTTGGTTTGGTTTGAAAACGGTTCGGTGTGGTTCGGAAACGATTCAGTTCGGTTCAAAATGGTTCGGTTCTTAAACTGGTTCTAAAAACCGGTTCGGATCTTAAACTGGTTCTAAAAACCGGTTCGGTTCATGAACTGGTTTTTTAAAAACC